GACTCACGCCCACTTTGCTCCCCAGGACTCCCTTGACACAACAGCAAAAGTCGCATGAATTGAATCATACACCCACAAACCTGACTCCTACAGATCCTGTCCATTGAGCAGGTGCAGTGCGCTACTGTGCTTTTTGCAGGAAATGCAGATTATGGGGGAGAGGTATGTACGCAATGAAGGACAGCAGCCTATTCGAGCTTCTAAGCAGATGTGTTCTGTTCGGCTGCAGCAGCTTGTTTTAGTTTCTCTATTACTGCGGCTTGATCCACGTATTCGAACACATTTGGAGCTGAGAACAGCACTCCAATTGTACCTCCCAATGTTGCTGAAACATGGATAAATTGGTTTGTTGTGGTAATTTGTGTTTACAATGATGGTCAACCACTTTTAAAAGGCTTAAACCAACTCGGTTAAGCTCGGAATCACTGGGGATTCCATAATTAATGTTTGAAAACACAAACCTGCAAAAAATATATACAGCAGAAGGCGATCGAGCACCATCGATACGAATTTCCATTCGTCACACTTCTGCAAATGGTTTGACATCGATAAAATGAGCTTAATAGTCATAGGTTTGTTACGATGGGTTATTGTTTGATGGGTTATCTTTCAAATTGTCTATAACCCATGCCCCTGGGTACTGAACTAGTTCCAAAGTCCAACCAGAAACTTTGAATAAAGTGGTGACTCCAACAAACAGACCAATTTTTCTTAGCTCGCTGTCTCCAACTACAGGTAGAATCTGGTGGATTCTTCAGAGGCGATACTTCATTGACAACCATTAAGTAGTGTGAGTAGGAAAAGTTCTTTCCTGATGGCGTACACCTAGACACAATGGGCAGGTAGGTCCCTTCAAAAAAACGCACTTAAAGGGGCTGCACAGTTGTAGGCTTTGCAGCAAAACCAGAACGCTTTCAAAATAGAGTTTTCTTATAAAAATCCTCTTCTTCACAGTGTCATGGGAAAACGAGTTATGGCACACTCAAATAAAAATGGCATACTCAAATAGAGATGGGACCAGATTATGTAGAAATAAATGAACTTCCCGATCTGAAACCCAATAGGGGGTAAGCTGAGTTAACGACAAATTTAAAGAACATACCCTTTTATAGTCATTGTCCCGTGTAAGGTGCTTTGTGATATACTCGATTGCTTCAATGGCCTGGGTGGCCTCCTGGGACAAGCCCTCTTTGTTATCTGAGCGCCCATCACCCGGCTGAAATCAAGAGTACTCATCAGGCAACTCATTTTACTGACTCCCGACTAATCAAAAGCTCGACCTCTACACTACCACGTTTAGCGTCAGGTTGTTGCTCAGCCTGTAAAGCAATTTCTTCCATATACATCCGTAAAATCGTGAAGACAACAAACCTCCCCATCCCCGGTGCCATTAGGTGCCCTGTCGTTATGGGCACGAATGGCTTGAAGCATGCCACGGATACCCCGTCGTTCACGTCGCTCTTCACGTGCTCGCTTCAGCTCGATTTCTGTGAACTCCGGTCGTTTCATGATCAGAAGCAATGGTAGATGCTGAAATAGCTGAACGTTGAGCCATCATTCACTCCATACTTTGCCTATACCATTATTAACGCCCTCATGGCTTCCTTAAGTAGATGATCCTCTTAAATCACCGTATCCCTCCCAGATTTGACAGTCTCATTCGATCTCAGTACGGCCTTCGTCTTTCGAGATAGCAAAAATTCCTTTCCAGGCAGAGACAACACTTTCAGTGTTGGCTGAGCTGTGCATAAGCTCTAGGGTGCTTGTCGATTACTGCAATTGACCAAACCCAGCTTAGAGCGACTTTCCTCAGACTCCCATGCACCAGGAGGAGGCGGCTCTAGGAAGCTTCCACCACGACCGTCCTCCACCACTATTTTCGCTTCTAGTCTCTCAACTATCTTAATCAAACACAAGTTTATGGACCAGCAAAGCATAAAAGTGATCATACTCACACTCAACTCATATCACATCAGTAAATTTCGGCGATAACTAGGTACTGGTCCATTCAACTCCGTGGGATGGAAGCGGTTATCTATTTGAAAGGAAAGTCTGCATACCTTTATAAACAGTGTTCGGACCCATTGGGGCATCGTATGGGTAGCTGGGCCACGAAAGTAGACATTTATAATGACCACAGTAACCTGGAATCGAGAACATTATGTACTTCTTCAGCTTTTGTTAGCTCCCGTTAGGAAACAACTAAAAGCGAACCATGATGGTGATCATATTCATTATGAAAGTCATCAGAAGGTACTTTGCCATGAGTGGAATAGTCGATGATGTAGGAGGGAGTATCTGGAGCAGACTTTTCATCAAGTAAAATTTCACATTCATTTTTTCAAATATGAAATCAGAACCGATCATTCGCAGAGGTACCTTTGAGACGAGTAGAAGAAAAACGACCAAAGCGAGAAGAATACTGATGGCCAAGGTGATCTTCTCGGATGCCTCACATGGCAGGTAGAAAACCATCATCGACAGAAATGCCATCAGAACTGTCGGCATTATAAGAATTACAGTATAGAAGAGAGTTTTCCTGAATGAAACCTATGCTATCTGTGTGGTTTTGACACTGATAATATTTATTTATTTATTATTTATTTATTTTTATTTATTTTTATTTAATATTTGCCGTTAACGTTAGGATATCAAGGGCAGAGGAATTTATATGGGCGTTTTGTCGCATCTCTCAGTAGTGGCTTCATTTCTGTCTACTCATACAATAAGCAATTATGGGCAGGCTTCACTCCATGAAAACATGGAATTCCTTCTGTTGTTCTGAAGAATACTGTAAAGCTCTCACGACCAGCTCGACTACTGCACTGCTCTAATATGAGGTCTGAAGCAGCGTTCCGGCATGACGTGGATGACATGATGGGTATGGGACAGTAGGAACTATTCAAAACCCGCTGCTCTGACACTTAAGTGATCTTCAGTGGCGGTAGAGAGTTTGAATCATTTTTGCATGATTGTGTCATCCAGTCACCCAGGACCTTTCTCCTTCATATTACCCGCCCAGAGAAGCAGCAAAGCCTAGCTGAAACTTGTGGAGATAGAAGTAACTACCGTCGAAGAAATAACTACCGTCGAATTCGGATCTGATATGAGATTTTCGAGCGATCTTCGATAAGTAACCCTGGAACTTCCATGACATCCCATATTCCACTAAATGAGTAGTCGTTCAACTCCACCTGAAAAAATTAGCATTCACAATCTTTGCAAAACTACGAAGAGGTCCTTATATCCCTTATTGTCATAGGTTTAGGTGACGCTATTGTCGTATCATAATAGTATCAGACAGCCGCGGCTTTGCAGAAGAATCTGTATTTATCTAAAAATGCATTTTACCTGTTTCTTTCCCATCAAGTATGAGATCTGCACCTCTTCCTTCTTGAATGTCCACGAACCAAACGTCAGTGAGCAGACTTGTTCTGAAAATAATGAATGAGAACCGATTTATGGGAGTTTACTGTTAGGTCTTCAGACAATTACTAATACTACAGATCACTTCTAAAAATCCGATTGTTATTGTCAAACAAACAACAAACAATGGAAAGCACAGACAGCTTTAGTCCTTTCCAACTCTTTCTTTCTTTTGCGCGTCAACATTTTTTTCAGGGTAACGTTTGCTTTCCTTCAGATGAAAGACTTTGAGAGTAAGCAAATATTATAGTTACACAACGTTGTAGTAGATGTTGGACTTACCATCAAATGGAAAATACTCAACGTCGATGATACAACTTGACTTATACACAGCTGGAGGGACCCACAGCATTTCTCCGGTGTGCTCGACAACGACATTTGAGTAAAACGACACCAAGTAGTTGCCATCAGCACTGAAAAATCTTTTCTCAAGTTGTTTGAGTTTCTCATGACCGACAAATTGGGTAGGAGTTATATCTAGGCGAGCTAAAAGGTTCTCAGCGAACTTTCTACTGTAAGTCACTGTCATTGAATGGATCCGCTTCAAAGAGGATGGTGAATGTTCGAGGTTGTGCTTTTAGCCTTTCAACCTCAGAGACACTTCCTCTAGGGCCTTCTAACAAGGGAGGATTGATATATTTGCATGGGCTTAGGCACAGATGTCAAGGCAAGAAGCATCTGGGTGCATCAAGCTATTGCGTTGCATCCAACAATGATTAACCAGAACCTGGTTTACAGATGTACTTGTTAGAAATAATCTCATTAATACACCAGATCAAGAGCTTCACCACTCACTTGTTGAATAGTACAATATCAGGAAGCCAGACTTTGTCAGGTGGAACTCGGATATTAACCAGAACCTGGCTTACAAATGTACTTGTTAGAAATAATCTCAGGAATATACCAGATCAAGAGCTTCACCACTCACTTGTTGAATAGTACAATATCAGGAAGCCAGACTTTGTCAGGTGGAACTCGGATCGTTTCTGAAATCAGACTAATGTGAACTCTCCCGAGTATCTCGTAAACCTAGTCAATTTTCTATTGAAGTAGTTCTGTTGCTACTTACCGATGTTTCCATAGAATCTTGGATCCCATCGCATCTGATAGTCATTCCAGCGCTGGAACAAAGCAAAATGTTCAAATCCTCCACTACAGATGATGGATGAAGAAATATCCTGTCGCTNCTCTCCCAGGCCAAATATAATTTTACCCTCCCAAGTCGGGTAATGGGTAGAAGGCCAAGATATAGGTACTGACTTGTACATCGGCTGTTCCCCACAAGTCAAATCAGCTACAAATATGGGTCCTAAACGCATCCAATACGCCACTATGATTTTAAAGGGAAACCGAATGTGGTGCGTCTCCCGAAAGAGTTCGATTAACACCGAGATACTCGATCTTATAAACTCAAACAAGAAACATTCGATATTCCTACCATGGTTGGCCACACGTTTGTGTGCATAATCTGATTCTTCTCGTCGATGTTGATCAGAAGCACCAGTGCCAAACTGAAGGCCACCTACAACGTAGTCAATAAGACCATAAGAGTAAGCCATGTATTCAACACCGTCGATGATGTAGTGCTTTCTCGGGCGCTTCTTGACCAGGTTCCTGTCCTAGCGATGGGAAAAGAAAAGGGACAAACTTCTATCGGAGGTGAAGAGGCGTTCGGTACCGGGCGTATAAGTGAATTGTAGCCGTTGAAAAGATCCGTCACCAGCTTATCTTCGTCGAATGAGCAGAGCACTAGCGTTGAAAGAGCTAGAATTAAAAAATATGACTCAAGACACAATTTTCGAATCACTGGTGAGAAACAGAGAGGAGTGCCTCTCTTCATTAGACCTCTAATAAGAATGTAGTCAGTTTACAAATCATATCCTTCTAGAAATATGTAGTAAACTTAAATTGACAGAGCCTATAGAGCTCGAATAAGCTCACGAGGTAGGTATTTAAGGAATTTTCAGGATCCTCCCGATATTTGACGATATCTTCGAATCAACCTTTTTTAGACTTTTTTAGATGATTATCAAATTTTGACTAGTTAAAGGCTTCCTGTCAAGCTGGAAAATTATGACTGATGTTTCTAGGAACGTTCCCAAGCATTTCTGCATTCTTTGTGTACTGCCTCAATTTCATAGTATTTATTCAAAACCAATAAATACAACTAAGTGTACAATAAGACGTTTCAGAAAGTGGCCGGAGTTGTGAGCAGTTCTTCCGTTGAATTCATATATTTGGCATTCAATTGTTTGATTACCTAAAAACAATGGGTATCAAAGATGAACTTAATGTCACACTCAGGTGTATGGGATAAAAAACAAATACGCAAGAGCCGAACATCTAAGGCTCTTTTGAGTATTACCTATTTCTGTTTTATTTTTCAAAATCAGTCATTCAGTCAGTCAAAATCATTGAAATGGGAGGTTACTCCGTGATCAGGCTCACGTCTTCCCCTCCACCCGTTGATGTTGCTCACCTAGTTTCGTAGCCACTCTTCACAACTACCTGAGGCGTGTTGACTAATGGGCTTCGGAACGGACTCGAACTCACACTTGTACTTCCCCTTCACAGTGCTCATCCACTACACTACCAAGAGCTCTCGTCCGTGGGAGCGGATGGACTCAGAAGAAACGTACCTGCTCCTGATCAACGAAATCAAAGACATGGGGTGCAGAACAAATAATTCCAAGGGTTCCACCCAGTGTGATGCCAAAAAATAGGAGAAGAAGCAATCGGTCGATAACCATAGCCACGTACTTCCAGTCATCACGGACCTGCAATGAGCAAGCGACATTCATTTCGAGCTATGAACTGGACTTTCTGAGGTACACGGGAATTGGAGTATGCAGGCTCACAGTGAGAGAGGGAACAAATGGCCGTATTTTTCCGTTCACTAAAGGAAGTGTACGGAAGATGAAGTCATAAAAGTTGATCAGACCTTTTCTGAGCTGCATCCACGTACTCAACCTTCATTCAAAGCCCTTAGGTCGTTCAAATCCGTATTTGGATTACAAAATGAGCTGGGAACGAGTGAGGAGAAGCAAACCACTGCCATCACCTATCCCTGTCTAGGTCACTGGATTTTGGTAATACTTATTTAAAGCAATGAAGACCTGGTCTACTTGGGCAGGAGCTGATCTGGAATTTGGTGTCTGCGCCATAGGTTTCGTATCAGTGCCATTCTGCACTATCCCACCTCCTCACCCATCTCAAACTAATTCCAAACCCTTTTAGTGATAGAAGCGATAGAGAAGAAATCATTTGAACTAACAGGATGAACCAAAGTTGGAGTTACCTGCAAACATTCCATCTACCTCACCAACGTGTTACAGTACTGCAGCTGGGCTATACTCAAATTACATATAGGGTTAACGCAGTTGCATCCTAGTTAGAGAACTTTAATTAACCCAGACAATAATTTTTACCTCAGGAAGGCATTTCATAGCAGCATGAGAAGCATCTTCAGCAAACTCTTCAGTCTTTTAAGTAGCTGCTCCCTAAGGTGGGACCCATTCACATGCATTCATGTGCACATGTGCCGAAGCGTATCCGGAGACGTTAATGCAGTAACTTCCGGTCGGGTAGCAGTAACTGCCTTTGTTTTCCGTGAAAGAAGACTGAGACTCGAGTCTCAGAATATTCATCAGAAGATTCATCATAAGGCAAATGGCACATGGCGCGCTTCTCCACGCACAGGCACGGGATGAGACTGGACTAACACTAAGATTTCTATCAATTCGAGGTAGGATGGCACAATGCCAGAAAATGAATGTACACATCTATTCTTCGTCCTTCTACTAAACTCGGTATTCGTTGGAAGAGGACAGACTTTTTTTTCAACAAGAGAAACCCCAAATGGGTGTTTCACGACGAACCTCCTATAGGAACTCATGTGAAGTACATATACAAAGTGAAAGTTTGAAAGGTAAATCTTACTGTTTTGCACACCATAGTAATACAAGTAATAACCTTCTTGTCATTCATTTCACATTTCATGTGTTCCGCGATATAGGCGATCGCCTCAACGGTCGTCTTCATTTCTCGGGTAATTCTTGCTGCATGCGTCTCACGGTTGGCATTTTGGTCATCCAGAGAGGACTCTTGAACGTGCTGGAACATCTTTTAGGTAAAAGGCTGATGCATCTTTCCATGTCCTGAACAAGTCCTTTCCTTACCTCGTGTGTTCGCTTCTTTTTGATGGATAGCTTTTTTGTTATTTTTCGCCATTTCGAGCAATTTTGGTGATGGGTTTCCTGAATGAGATCACCATATTTACTCTCCCATCTGGTGATACTATCGCACAAGCGAACTCCCTAGATAAAAAACAAACAAAAAGACAGGCTATTCTCTAGACCAGTTTTCCAAGGAAACCGCTTCAAAAAAAAAACGGACAAAATTTCATAGAAAACAAGTCTCATTTCAAAAAGGGAAATTTTTTTCTCAGCAGAGTTTCTCTCTCGAAACTTTCCGTGATGAACACGGCGTCAGCGCCCGAACGACAGCCCCTTGCTTCCAAGTCCCTCCTATATAAACAAAATAAATCCCGAATTCAGATACCATTTTACGAACAGAGAGGGTATTGCATTTTCCATGCATAAAATAACAAAAATTCAATAAATCTCCGTTCATAGGAACATTGATGGCAGAATTATTCTGAACTGTACAGTCTCCGAATCAAATCCTACCTCGTCGATCACAGGTTCTTGAGTTGTTGGCGTTGGTACCCGCATAAACGGCACCATTGTAGCTGTTACAGAAGGCATTACGAGGCCTGAAATCGGTACAGTTCAGCAGCAATACCGTAAAGAAAGTAAGAATCTCATCAACTCGGTTAATACCAAAACTAAAAACACAATTTATTCGAATGAAAATGAAGCATTGAAGATTCTTCTGAGATGCCCTGATTTTCAGGGAGTTCGGAAAAAAATTGTGGACGTAACTTCACGAACATGTAAAAGTTGGATCGTTTCTGGATTGACATGAGTCTCAGAAAATCTTTGGCAGCTCTCCAAAATTGTTTTTAAAGGTCTTTCAAAGGGCCCTGGGATCCTGAGGGGGATGCGTGGCGTATCTCAAGCGAAAATGGCCCACACAGACACTTTATTCTTTGTTTTTACATACCTTTTGAAGAACATTCCTTTGTTCTAATAAAACCATTTTTCTGATAGTGACGTAATTTTGGAAAATCAGGTGAAAAGACATTGTTCAAAGCGATTTTCACCCGAGACATAAGCGTGCCTACATGAACCCAAATTTGTTGCAAAAACATTCAAAATAAAACAGACAAAAAAAAACAACAAAAAAACAAGAACAAAAAAACAACAACATGTTCACTCCCCGTTTTTTTTCGATTTTTTTGAAAATAGGACCAATTACTGCGTTCTACTACTTGTTTACTCACTCGCATTCAATATATCACAGGCAGAATACTCTTCTACAAAGTATCCGTTGAAGATTGGAATCCTCTCTGGCCTCCTCATCATCAGTACTCGAGGCAAGAAGTCAAGGAATATGTGTCGTACGTAATCTGGCATCTCATGGGAGATAGCACTTCGAAAGTAGACGTTAACTATCACCACCGTAACCTAAAAAAGCTCCCATTCTAAAGGTATCATGCCCAGATTAAGCAAAACAAACTTACTATGACAGTAGTGATGTTAAGAACAAATGCTAGTAGTAAATACTTGCCCATAAGCGGAATATTCGATGTGGGAGGTAGAATCTTGAAAGGCACCAACTTGTTTCACGTACTATGTGAGCACTAGTGGGTTCTTACCTTGGATACCAGTAAAAGGAACACAACCAAAGCGAGTAAAAGGTTTATAGTGAGTGAGATCTTTTCTGCAGAATCCGCTGGTAGATAGAATGCCATCATTGACAGAAAAGCCATCAGTACTGTAGGAATGATCAGAATCACTGTGTAGAATAGGGTTTTCCTGCAGAACAATCCGATCATTTACTCTGTAACGCTTTGGAAGGGTTCACTCACCTTCGGATGACCACGTGGAACACGATTTTACTCTCCTTAGTCTCCTTCTTGTTAACCAAGTAGCCTGGCACATCTGTAAAGGATGTGTATGGTTAGGTACTGTTTTGTAATTAGTTGAACTGGAAAGAAATATTATCTTGGAGCTATAGAACGGTCTTCGAAGCTCATCCCCCAAAATACCCCATAAAATAGCATCCCAGCCAACCCATCTAGATTTTCTCGAAACCAATTGTTCATAGGTTAAGCATAAAACTTTGACCAGGGCATTCAAACGAGAGATTCTGTTTTACTGAGCCATTTGGAAATGAGGTGACAACAAACCGATAACATCCCAGATCCCGCTGAAGGAGTAGTCAGTTAGTTGCACGGCTTGAATATTGTTATACCAGTTTAGCACTACCTAAAATATATCACTTTTTCTACTGGACCCTTCAGTTGTGGGTGTAATGAAACCCTTCAACTGTGGATGCTCACCTCGTCTAAGTTATATGTCCATGACCCGAACACAAGTGTGCAACTTTGTTCATCAAATGGAAACCTGAATTTGAAGTACTGTTATGGCTTATCTGACCGAATGGACATTCAAATCAGATGCACAAAGTGAATCACATCGCACCATTCAACATCAATGCGACAACTGCTTTTGAACATTGCCGGAGGTACCCAAGTAACATCACCGTTGGATTCGACAAAGGCGTTCGATCGGAAGGATACCTCGTAGTTGCCGTCCGCACTGAAATGATAAAGCCATATGATCAAGCTAAAGCCAAATCGTGGAATTCATGACAGGGATGTCTGTTTAGCCTACAAAGATTACATGTGGGTCGTGAGTTAGGCCCTTCCATACCCAGAAAGGAACGCAAGAAGAGAGAGGGTAAAGTAGAAAGGTAGGGGTGGAAAGCTTACAGAAGGGTGGGAAAGGGCCTTTCGATTTGGAGTTTCCAAAAGCTTCAGTATCACTTTTTTAGAAAGGAATATGAACTCCAGCTTCACTTCAAGTCGAATCTTTTGTTCTTTCCTTTCGCTGTTCTTACACACTGGAGTGAATAAAATTGTAACTGGTTATTTGAAATGAAAAATTCCAAGGTGGAACACCATCCTTTNTTTCCTTTATCTTGAGTCGAGTTCCCCCGAAATTCGAGGTCTTTCCAGAAGGTAGATAACAAAAAAGGCGAGTGCACGGATTTTTTTTCTTGAATTTGTGAATAGCTTTGCAAAAGCCGCCTTTGCAAAAGTTATCGCCATAGAAAGAGCGACAATTTGCGATATAAATTTCATTTTTTGCGATAATCCGACTACAAAGATTCTTCTCGTCCTATTCTTCACTCAATATAAGAAGGTAGATTTTTTATCGAAGGGTTTTTCGGTCACATCGGCTTTGAATGTCAATTCAGCCAACGGTAAATTCGTTGCCTTGCGTCACCTTCCATTATTTCCCTCTTTCTGTCGCATCGCAAACTTCAGGAAAAAACAGGCTCGATTTCACAAATACTTAGGAGGAATGATTAGGTTGCTCGTCTCTAGCAGTTTTAGTGACTGACCCCACTCCCCAATATATTTAGTTGGGGTCTACAGGTGCCATAACGCCGGTTGGATCAGCTCTGAGTCGGGAAGACCAGTTCGTCCTAGCCGTCCTACTATCACTAGTTTTGGCATCCTGCAGATAACCAGTAAAGAAAGGATGGTTACCCTTTGAGAGAACTGCGCTGTCTTCTGATTGCACATTTTCTATTTCTCTTCCTAGCCTTCTAAGTGCTCACTTTTATTTTTGTGTCCCTACTAATGCAGATGAAAAAAAGCGCATTGGAGAAAAAAATAGGAGGATGTAGCGAGGGCAGCCATGCCTCAACTCTCCATGGTGCCCCAAACTTCACTGCCATAGCCGCTCCCCTTCCACCTTCTCCCCCGATCTGTACTTGATAATTTCAAGTGGAATGGTCGGTTATCCTTCTGGAACGGATGTGTTGTAACTTCCAAAAGCTCGGTTCAACTTATTAATTTTTTCATACACAAGTGGACCATAATTCACGCAATTCCGAACAAGGGCATTCGTTCTTCTTTATGAACAATGTTCACGATCCCCAGTCTTTGAATTTAGTAGAGAATATGAAGGGCCCAAAATGGAAAACTCGTTTAGATTGCTGCTAATTTGAAACGCCCCCTTCCATCAGAAAAAACTCCAGCACGTCAAAATTGCGGTCCTCGAAATTTGGGGTCTTTTTTTTCTGCTTAATCAGACCGCAGCTGGTCTGCCTCATGGGCTATTAAAGTTCTGCAAATCGTACTAAATGCTGCAAAATTGTGCAGATCATTTCAAAAGGGTTCAGCCTTTTCAACCGCGATGGCGCTTTTCCAGACTTCTGGAATTCGTAGTTCAACGTCTGAAAAATCGAAAGATGTGTAGTAATCTTGTCCTATTCACCCCCTTCAGGTCTCGGTCTCAAGGGCTGGGAACTGCAGTAAAGAGTTTCAATTCCAGAAAAAACATTATTCCCAAGTAAGTCCGAAAGAGTTCACTCCCTGCCTTTCATAAACTCATGACAAATCAGCAAAAAAGTGTTTGTTGAACGAAGGGTTCCCACGTCATTTTTGAAAAGGCAGACCATACTTTTTGAATCAGAGTAGACGCATGAGATAGTTCCTCGGTGGGTGAATATGATGAATTTGGTGTAGTCAGAACTCTCCAAATCTTTGGTTGACCATGAAGATGGTTGGCTGATATACAAATAGGGCGAACCTGTGGANAAGTTCGTAGCAAGAGGAGGAACGGAAAACACCCTCAGAGAAGCCCTGCTGATGTCATCCGACAAAAAAGCACAGCCTCCTGGAAAAAGCTTCGCGAACATGGTTCGCTAAAAGTAAGCTTCAATTTCAGTGCCACTTTAACTACTCAGATTTCCATTTTTTTTTCTCCTACAGGAAAAGGATCTCAAGTCGAAAGAGCTATTGAAATTCCACTTACACGTCCGTTGAGATAATCAGCCGACGAATTCGGGAAGCAAATTTGAGATCAGCACCCAAAAATACATCTGACAACATAACTCTCATTACAAATCGCCTCGAAATGGGAGAGTTCCCTTCATAGGAGAAGCTTTTCCGCAACTTACTAGCGATGGTGCAACATTTGATTGTCCACAGCCCAAACGGACCAGTTTCAGTCAGTCCAATCGAGCTCTGTTCGAGAACACCTATGTTCCACTACCAACCCTACGAATCCACGGAGACGAGAGCGGTCTAGTTGTCTCTTTGGCGGCCATCCATCGACAACCACCATGCTTTATGAGATTTCGCTGCCGCCTGATTGTTCCCCACGGAAAGTCGTCAATTTGCACATGCAAAACTGCCATGTCTCCCCAGAATTGTTGATTCGAGAGGACCAGAATGAGGCGAGGAACTTATTGAGAGACGGCTATAAGGGCCAACGCAGCGGCCAAATGAATTTTCACCAAAATAAATGATTCTTACTTGTTGAAGAGCACAATGTCGGGTAACCAGACGCGATCAGGAGGAACGTGAAGATTTGTGATGTTTCCTGAAATTGAGAATTTTAAGCTCCGAAAAAGGGATATTGCATATTTTTAATGGAGTCAGGTTGAAAATCGCCTCGGGGTTGGCCACTTTCAAAACTAACCATAAGCACTGCAGAGATACCGATTGGATCAAAACCTTGGAAAAAAACTCAAGCGATATTCTGACATGATCCGTCACTCACGGTTAATTGAATATATGTAAAGTACAACATGTAGGCTGCTTAGCTCTAATCAGCGCTTTTGAGAATGAGCCATGCATTCGTTTTCGTCAAAATTTCCAATAAGCCTTGTAACGCATCTGGTCCTTCCTGTTCGCGAAAACTTGTCTACAAGAGAGTAGAAGCTTTCTTCTCTCAGGCAAGATAGTACCGAATTTCCGAATAGTGAAATATGAGAACTGATTGTTACCGAAATCCCAGCCGGGAGTCGATCTACGGATCACATGTGTAGTAGTGGCGCTAGTCACCGTGGTTTAGCGTTTAGTGAATTCGAATGCTGTATACTATAAAGTAAAGTCAAATGGAAGCCACGAAACGCATGAATTTGAAGCTACAATGATTTTCTGTGTGGGATAATGTTTTTTGGAGTAATTGAAAAAGCTAGAAATCGTTTTGAACACTAAAGAGGTCCCTAGAGAGCTCCACGAATTGGACCAATCAATCTTCTTATCCTTCCCTTTCGGAAGAATCTCGTACAACAAAAATTCCCATTCCATATCTGACAGAAGATTTGGAAAATCCACGCAAGCTAGCGAAAAGTTGGAGAACAACAGGGTCGCGGAAGCCGCGAGTTTGTGAGGCTTCTTTCCCTTCGAAGCAGATTTCTGGTACCGTTATGCATTCCAAGCGTGTCTACATACCACCAGATACAAGACCAAGTTCGAGTAAGGCCAGTGGACTAATCAAAGCTGGAATTTGACAGATTCGTTTATCAGAAACGAATATGAGCAAGTTTGTAATTGCTCCAGGCTGAATGCAAGCAAATTTTTTCTTTGATGGTCAAAACTGATGAGTGCTGGACGAGGTATCTGTGAAGAATAAGCATATTCTCCTTGAATAGAATAGTTCCTAAGGCACAGGGTAGTCTTGATTAACAAAATGTTCAATTAAAACTATGCAGCTCAAGCATAACATAAGAACAAGAAATAATGAATAGTCCCTCCCTAACAGTGCCATCCTCGAGAAGATTGCGAATGGCGCACTATTACACACGCATAGTCGAAGGATCGAATCCCGGGTTGAATATCCTCCTAGACCAAACAAGTCTTCCACCCCTACAGGGTCGGTTAATTGGTATCAGACTCGGAGGGAAGAATAAAAGCACTGACTTGTTCATCGGCTTGCCACCGAAAGTCATTGTACATACGCACTACGGGCTACATACACATTCAAAACCTCCACTACGATTCTGAATGGACGTTTAATGCAGGTATGCATCTCCAGAAGGAATGATCGAAGTCAAGGTCTTTCTCCTCACCCTTTATTCTTTTTTATCCTTTTTTGTGCTGTACTCGTAGCACAAACTCAAGAGGACGTAGTCACGGAAGCGTCGCTATTTCTTCCCATTTCTTTCTTTCTATCCCCTCCTCCCTAGCCCTCTTCAAATTGTTTGATTTTCAATATACAAAAACAGAGATATGAGAGATTCGCCATACCATAATCTTCTGGATGCCATCGTAGTTGAAAATCGTTCCATTTCATGGTGAGCCACACATTGGTCTGGAGAATTTGGTTCTTCTCGTCCTGAACTGCTCAAACTTGAGATTTAATTAAATTTCTAAAATGTTGGTAATGAACGGTGCTCTGAGGCACTAGAATACCCTATCCATGAAGGTTTTCATCTTAGAACAAAGTTTGTTTTCGAAAAAAAAACTTGATAACTTGAACTTTAGTTGGCTGAGGAAATTCAAAGAATCAGAAACTTACCACATTGATCAGAAGAATCATTGCCACACCGAAATCCACTGTTACTGGAGGGCTGAAACAAAGAACTATAGACTCCCCTAAACTTACTGAAATGCTCATAAAAAGTAATAAGTAAAATGAAAAATTCCAATAACACCGACAAAAATAGATGTTTATCATCTCCACTTCAACTACTAGCTATGCACTTTTTGCTTACTGCAACCAGTGCCGCTTGTCGAAGGCCGTACTCTAAAACTCGTCCTGGAACTAAAAATTACGGTCGTTTCCATAAAAGTTTTACAATTTACAACTCTTGAACAGAATTGGAAACCCTCATAAACTCCCCATAAACTTAGGCCACCTCAACTTAAGCCCCACGGAAGAACTTAATGGGAGATGGCTACAAGGGCCAACGCAGCTGCCATTAATCCACCCTAGAGACTTTTCCCTTACTTAGTGGTTCAGACTCTCCGATAAGTTTGATACCTACATGGCAATGGCTATATTCGGTTGACCGTAATAATCGTAACTGTAAACGTAAGCTGGATCCTATGCACTACTAGGCGATCTACTGATTCTACTTCTGGATTGTTTACTTACTACCAATAACTAGTTTGTAATTTTTCTGTGCTGAGAGGTAAGATTCGGCAAAAAGTTGATGGCCAGTCCTAAATAAATAAATCCGATCTCCCATTTTTTTTCCACTGAAAACAAAAAAGTGCATGCGACTGGTGAAAGGGGAACGGGGATAGAGTTACACAAAAATAGAAGTCTCTTTTTTCCAAGGGTTACTTCAGAATTCTATGCAGTACGTCGATACCCCTCCATTGATAGAATTCTTTCNCCCCCCCCCCCCCCCTTGATACAATTCTTTCAAAGGCACAGCTCAAGATGGGAATAGCTTCGCAAGCTACTCATTGTGATCAAGCAAGAGCTGAATATCGAAGAAGAGCTGTCTATTTAGGGCTCAGCAAGGGCTCGGAACCCGTTAAAGTCCACACCATGTAATGGCAGCCCTTAAGTGAATGCTTCTTCTATGTGGCAAGGAGATCTCACATACAAAAAACATGAGACATTACCACCAACTCAAGCTGAAAGTGCGCTGTCAGACAGGATCAGGAGATATCATGCGATATGATGTGGTATCAGCAAGCAAGAAATCGTTCTGATTCAAATTCCTCAAAGCTTTTCCGTTAGAGGGTAAAAGTGTAAAGCCTACTGATACTTTGTGAGATGTTCTCACAAATTTGATTTCATTTCAGAATCGTAATGACGATTTGAGTGCGATTGCGGCCCTTACGGTGACTTGTGGGGGCCGACGTTTTTATTTTCTCACAAGTCTGGTACCCTTAGTCGACACGGGAGGGATGTAAGGTTCGGCTGGCCTGGGCTTGCAGGATTAAGATTCAATCCTCTGACCATACTTATGATAATGTGCCTTTCCGTAATACACCATCTCTCAAAAGTTTCCCATACCCCATTTCTGGTCGCACTATGAATAAGCTAGGACCATTCCTACCTCTTCGAAATAGACTTCCAGGCCAGGATCTGGCTCTGAGAGACCTCCCAATCTCTACACTCCCAATTCTCGCCTTCCACCCACATAACATATTGGTGGAGTGGGCCTTCACGGGAATCTCTCCTCATAATTCCTATGTTAACGGCTCTATACCGACAAGAGCACATAGATTAAAGGATCGACCCATGATTCCCGATTGCAGCGCCAAGGATTATGGATGTACGCGAAAAAAGATTACCCTTCAGAACGTCACTCTGAAGTTCTCATATCAAAATCGTACCTGCTTACGTTCTGTACTGGTCGTATAAGGGAATTGTATTCCCGGAACAAATCGATAACTAAACGTTCCTCATCTTCACCGTAATCATTTGAGAAATCTTCTGAAATATGTATGTGAGAGGTTTGACGGTTTTTATGGTGTTTCAATAAATTCTTGGAAATTTGAACCAGAAATTTCCCACATTGCCAATAACATTATTCATTTTTATTAGAATGAGCTTTTGAGGGTATCAAAACTAGATAGTTGACTCGATTAGGCTTTTGGCAAGAGGATCCAAGAGGACCCCAATGCAGAGTGCAGTATATCTACGGATATCTACGGACACCCTTGGGTTGCGCCAGATTCGAAGTTGGCTTCGTAATTTGTTGAGATGTTTGAATGCGCATGTTCAAGGGCTTTACCTTTACCTGGTCTTTGTTATTCACCTCTGGTCTTTGTTAGCGATTTATTTTACTTCGATCGCATAACTGCTCAACCTACATCGCCAACTCCAAAAATGGGAGTAGGATAAGTTCAAAATGTAAAAAAAACCAGCATTAAAGCATCAAATGCCTATGAAGTGCGCCACGCATTTGACTTGCACATCAAGTCGAGAGTGAGTTCAAAAGCGAGATCGAACCGAATTACGCGACCCTATAACTTTATACTTTGTTATGAGAAGCTCTTACAAAGTATCTTATTTGGTAGTCCTTCAAGAATGCGCCATGATCACACCAGAATCACCTAATAGTGAAAACATTTCAAGTAGTGCTTCCGCGATGTAAGGACTAATTTGGCAAACAAGTTCAGCTCTCAGTGTTTTGACATCCCCTTACGGAACTAAGCCTGGCCCGAGGGAAAGTAGTAGCCACAGTCTGACAAAAACATTGGGATTCAACTGAACTTTTCTCAACTTTGGCGTATCTTATACTGAAAACCAATTCGAGAAAGAGAAATTTTCTAAGAAACTCAATCACTCACGTGGGCTGATTTTCTTGGTGTCATCGTTATTATCTGGACCATTGGTCTGGTTGGGTAAAGGCTGTTGTGAGGTGTTGGTATGGCTGAAGCCATGACGAAAAGAAATCAGCAAAGTCAAAGTAATTAGATGTAACATTGGGAACTCATTTTGAAGCCAGGCACCAACCACAAACAAATAGTTGGAGATGTTATGACTTGAACTAAAGCGTGGGAAACCAATGACACGCCCCTATTCATAGAAGCTTGGATTCGGCTGCTTTTTTCGATTCGAGCAAAGGCGTGGCCAAATGCTCTCATGAGGATTCGGAAAGACAAATGCTAGTATTGGTCGTGACGAGATGACTCCACTAATGTTGATGGAATTTGTTTAGGAAAATATTTATTCGTCAATACAGTTTCCGTAGGTTTTTGAGGGTCTTTTTCGTGTATAGAAATCATAATATCAAGGGTGACCGAAAAATGGGTATCAAGGGTCATCCATTATGTACCAGCTTTAGCAGACAAGAAAGCATTTACGCGAAAACTGGGAAAATAAGTATGCCACTGAAACCTACCCGCAAACTTCTGGTCATAATTAGAGCAGAGGTGGGGTAGTGGCAAGAGACGCACACAGGGACAGGTCTGCGGACCATATCCCGGCCCTATACTCGTCCAAGCCAGCTGAGCCATCCATTCCTCTAGTGTCGATTTAATAATGCCAGGCTTATTTAAGAGGACAAAAGCACTGACTTTTACTTCGACTAGTCACCTCTAATCAATGTACATATAAGCCACACACACAATCAAAAGCCTCAAAAATTCTGAAGGGGAGGGGAATGAGGGGAGCATCCCAGAAATGGAGTTATTTAACATCGGAAGACTTCATTCTCCACACCAATGAATTAACCTTTTTGCTTTAATGGTGCCTTTCATCCGTTCCTGGAACCTACCAGAGCAGAGAGACTACCGACCGGAATGTGGTCTAACAATTAAAGATAATTTGTTCTGATTCCAATGGAAACTATTACAACAGAAAAGATAAAATGAACAAAATAAGCAAAAAGAGAGCATTAAATTCAGGTGTCCGATCTCTCAGGGAGGTGGGGCCATATGATGCCATGCTATATGATGACCTACATAAACCAATGTGAAAAAATTATACTTGGATCTAGTGCCACCTCTGTGGAATGGATATTTAAGTCTTTTTCATTACATCAGTCATGTTAACTGTTCCGCTGCCACCCAGTTTCAATTAGAAAGATCCTCATATGTAGGAGGAGATAAGGTGTTAACGAAGTAAGTAGACGTACTCACGATGCACTTTGCACGCCTTGTTGGTTTCACGCTTATCGTGGCTCAATCAAGACCCACGCCTTTTTGATTACGGGTAACAACGCCCGATTGCGTTCGGAGGAGTGAAAAAGTGAGACATGGACCCAGAATAAGTCATTACATAAAGCAATTATTGAAGTGATTTCACAATTAGTGAATTAAGTCGGAAGCATGGCGTGATTCTAAATTTTCGACACACTCAGACACATTTTCGGTTGTCATCCACAACAGTATATAAAGCAATAATAAAAATTACTAATAGAAACTAATACAAATACAAAATTGTATAATAATAAAACATAGTAATAAAATGAAAAAACACGTCAGACTCTTTTGGTACCAATCAAAATGCATTTTCACAATTACCGCCGGTTGAGGTGACGCGAATAACCTTTCCCCTAAGTTTACGGCGATTGCCTTTCCATCAATCTGGACATGATCATGGCTTATATTTTGTGATTGTCATTACCCTTCTCCAGAGAATGACGTTAGTAAGAGAGGTTCAGGACGTTGCTACTCACGTTTCTCGAGCAGTCAATGAGAAAATCCCTCTTCTTTCGCGAGCTTCTATCTCTTTATCTGCCCCTTTACTTCACATCATGACTTCTCTCCAAGAAGGGAAAGCGAAGGAAAGTAGTCATCTTCTGGAAAAGGAAGATGGTTATATTTCATGCGCTATTTCTCTAAACCGTACATGAATTCAAAACTTTCGAGACGGGTCTAACTTGATGTCGTAGCCGCTGAAAATAAGGACATGTTCGGAAGATGCCCGGACAATCTGTCTTTCTCGGGAAAAAAGTGCTAAAACAATTTACTGGAGAAGCCTAGTGGATTCACAAACATCATCAAGCTCAGCATGCATGAAATAGAGGATTTGCAGAAATTTAATAAGGATGTGGAACGGAAACGACAATGGTGGCGGTGAAAAACAGCGAAACCCAGATTCAGCGCAAAACGAGTGAGATAATAAAAAGCAAGGTTTGCAAGTAATNGAATCAGAACCCAGCTGCTCGACTGTTGGTGGGACTATACAGCGCTACGCATTTGTGCCAAAGCCACTTTTCATAACCTGATTCTGAAGCTAGATAAGAGGGACTACGGGGCAAAGTTCGAGGGTGCCCTGAATCATTGGCTCACTTTTCGCCTTCCGGTCGTTCACTTTAGCCAGCGTAATGATTGCGCTTCACCCTCACAATACTGACCAAAAACCCTATGCATGGCGCATCGCAAAACAAAAACTTGCTATAACCAGGCGATATATTAGTCAAAGTTCCTTTCGGACGAGGAGTCTGGTACCTAGGACGAATACAGCTGGTAAGGGAGGACAGAGTGCTTGGCTCTCCATTCAGTATCCACTGGGATTCGATTCTCACCATGCGCGTGGGTTGAATGTACTGGACCCAAAAGGCTAACTGATAAAAGAAGAGTCTTGGGGCGTTAATAAATCCCGTCAGAGGGATGCCCCCACGCATTTGGTTTCCATTCAGAATCGTTGTGGCGAATTGAATGCGTATGTGACCTGTAAAATGACTTACGGTGGCCATCCGATGTACAAGACAGTGCTTTTATCCTCCCGGACGACTCTGAAAACAGTTAGCTGACCCTGGAGTGAAGATATCGATCCTGGATTCGGACCCGTGCCCACAAGTGTGGGAAGAGCGCCACTTGCCACTACACAACCACTGCCCAGGCCAACTGATATAATAATATTTTTTTTGAAAGTATATCAATATATATATGCGTATATATAGAAACTTTTTTTTGAAAATATCTTCATATATATGCACACTTTCTATGAAGTGCTTAAGGGCTAACTTATGGATTTCAAAGCGTAGGCCAAATACACATTCAACAAACATCACGAGATCGAGGTGAATTCAAATGTGTGGCGCATACCAAAGAAATTTTTCACTAGTTATTGTGTTGACCAAAGAGCTCACCTTCGGCCACAATTCTATTCCGTTGGTAAACGATTGAAGGTTGTTTTTGATAAACTGATGTGATTAAATCCGAGCGCAATGGCCATTTCGTAGCGGAAGTTGTTCACGGTGGATGAGTCCCATGGTCGTGTAGATGGTATCGGCAATTGAAGAAAGTGAGGGAAATCGAGGCAAAGACTAAACACTGAAGAACATCAAGCTGCATCACCCACAGTGGGTGAAACTTTTACCTAAACCTGAAAAAGTAACAGGGGTAGGTAAATTTCATGTTGCTCTTTCAAGCATTCTATAACCTCAAGCATGGAAGTCATGAAAGGAAACGATATTGAAAGCTCATTTCAATGCATGACTTGTTTCGCCTAGACAGTTGCATTCCCGTAGCGAAAAGAGTAGCTTGAGGTTCAAAACGAATCACATACACTGCTGTGGTATGAAAGCCATTAAGAAGCGAGAGTAAGCGGTTTGTTTGTAGTGCAGGGGATAAGGAGCACGGTGTCAGGATAGCACAAGTACAGGTTCGAGTTCCACTGAAGAACGAAGTTTTGTCTATAGCTCGCCTACCTTGTGAAACTTTCGGATCGCACCAATGCGGCGAAATAACAGCAGTTAACAAAGCATCAAGTCAAAGTGAACTAAATGTTTTCTGAATGTGAACTTGTTTGTAACTGACCTTCATCGACTGATACAACCAGGTGGCCCCTTAGTTTGATGCCATTTTCAACTTTCATGAAGCTTCGAAGGAACAAGCTACTCTCGTTCTCTCTTTTTAGCTGGCTCGCCTCTGATGAGTATGTCGAGTTCGAAGCGATATCCGAAAAGTCATTAGTCTTGAGAGGCTCAAGAAACTGTCCGCTTAAGTCAAGATGTCCAAAAAAAGGAATGGCGTTCGTGGAGAAACAAATTGTAATTAAGCGACCAGTCACACTTCGTTGATATCAAATAGTCAACATACTAGTGAATGAGAAATAGCGATGAAAAAAGGGAAAAGGGAAAAAGGGAATGATTCGTGCTGAATGTATGCAAAAGGATGTACACTGAGCTAATACATCATTTTGAAATAGGACAGCACAAACGTGGCTGACTAACTGACAGACTTCAGTAATCAATTTTGAGAGGGTGTCGAACTCTTCTTTAAGTAAACTCGGACCTATTCATTGCCCACGGAGTTTTATAGAGTTTGGCTATGGGAACACTGAGTATTATTAGATATGCTAAAATATCAGAAAAAACAGCCAAAAACATTGGGTACGAGATGCATCATGGCAAAATAGTTCTTCGGTGATTTCATTCCCAACTGTAAATACAGTAGCCTCGGCTCGGTCCTAATAGGAATAGCCGGCATTACGAAACTCAAATTTTGGTTCCACGGTGTAGTTGAACTGTTCTGTTGCCGAAGGAATTGACACTTTTCTGAAAATCAGAACAAAACGACTTACAAT